GTAGAGTTCACCATTGCGCGTATGTCGCCTGAAAATTGTTCAGGAAAATGGCTTCTTCTTGTTCAGAAGAACTTGTCTGTGCCTTCCAGTTGTTGTGCCATACTTTTAAACTGTCAATATCATAAAAAAAAAAACACTGTAATGAGTCACCTATCTACATCAAATGTCAAAGGAATGTCTCAGTTAGTGGGATTGTACCGTTTTTCCTTCTGAATTTCGCTCACTCTGTAACGATAAAGAATTCCAGCCAAACACTTAACCAGTCAGATACAAAACTAAAACCACCTTAACTTCGTATATGCTGTCATGAAGGGGCAGACTGGGAGATGGAGGGGTATTTTGTTTCACCAATGGAGTCGATAATGCAATGTTGCTAAAGAAACATTTGACTGTCTGCGGCCTTCCCTACATCTATACGGAAAGCCACAAAAATTTAGAAGAAAAATTTATCTTTCACATCAACATTCTTAATCTCCACGGGATCAACGAACGCTTTCCATTGAGTTGCTAAGGACTCCATCCAAATTCATACAACTCACAATTCCTCTGTTCGCTTTGAAGGGCTACAGTAGGAAACGTCAGCTTCTCTTCACGGTGACCAATTTACATTATTGACTCAGTTGATAAAACCAAATTATCTAGCTTAATTGTTTAATTTTTTCTTGAGTTTTTAAAGACTTCTTTGGTTTCATAACACTCAGACAAAACTTGCTTTGAGTTAAAATTGTTAGTCCAGGGTTAAAAAGTTCATTACTGCAACAAACGTGAAAAAAAATAGCTGAGATCAGCTTACCATCAGTTTGAAAAAGAACCACGCATGACCCATCGCTATTGCTCTGACAGGTGCAGTTGCCACAACCCACTGCAAAGCTAACTCCTCGTGTACCAGCTATTGAAAACAACAAATTTCATACAAAAAGATTCTGAACATCATCGAAATAAACCTTGGGCCTGTCATGTAAAGGTGTTTGTTTTAAATGGGAGAAGGTAAATCGAATAAGAAATATGGTAGACTTTGAGCTAGGTAAAGAAACAGAGAAAGATGTTGTTTATCTTGTCACGAGCGTGGGACAGAGAGAAAGTTTTGAGTCTCCGTGAGGAAAAGAAGCTCAGACCTTCGGATTCCGCGCTCCGATGCTCCACCACTGAGCCATAGAGACACTATGTGGTGAGCAAGGCCTATTATGAAGTTCATATATTACACGTGTCCTGCATAATGCTAGGATCGATATCGTCGATACGATAGCGTCATGTCCCGCAAGTCAACTCAAAATCATTCCCATGACGTAAAATGAGATAATAAAATGTCGACGTAATCACTGACTATGCAAAATGGCGGTCGGTCACGTTTTTACTGGCTCCGCTCTTTTTGCTTTATTTCTTATTTTTCTTATGGATTTTAGTTCTAATGGCTTGCTGTTTACTAGTCGATTGGATTTATCTGAGGTTTGGCATTCTCGAGGAATTGGTCTTCCTATTTTTGGCAGTGCAAATCGTAGTGACCTCAGCTCATTGCTGATGTAGCGGACTCGCCATCTTGGATTTAGCCGTGCACGACGTCGTGGCTTTTTCCTGTTGTCAATCAGTCATTATCCGAATTCGATTTATACTTTTAATCTCACCCGTTTGGTTGTCAGTGGTGACATCAATGTCAATCCTGATCCTGATGATTTTCAGTTTATTCCTTCCGCAAGAATCAGTGATCGCTGGTGTTGTCGTTTATCGAATGCTTATCGTTGTCGAATCATTTCGAACCTCACTGAGTCAGATGCGTTTCATCTACGGCCAAGCCAATTCAAGTCCTGTTGACCTTATGTACTTTGAATGCTCCTTCGCTCAAGAATAAATCTGCTCTCTTCTTTGACTATGTCAGTGAACGTAAAGCGCACGTGTTTGCCATAACAGAGACCTGGCTTTCGCTTAATGACGCGGCGGTATACAATCAAGGAGGTTACGCCTGCTGGATATAATGGATGTGTCGAAAACGAAGACCCAAAAACGAAGACCTAAGACCTAAGACCCACTGGTCTAAAACGAAGTCCCTGTAGTCTAAAACGAAGACCCTGTGGTCTAAAACGAAGACCCTGTGGTCTAAAACGAAGACCAAAGGAGTTTTCCAATTGTCGTAACAGCGTGCCATAATCCACAGTATCAAAAGCAGCACTAAGATCAAGGAGAAGAAGGAAAGTCACACGTTGTTTATCCATATTAAGTAGAATATCTTTACGACCTTCAACAGAGCAGTTTCAGCACTGTGGTGAAGGGATGTGTCGAAAACGAAGACCCAAAAACAAAGAACTACGACCTAAGACCCAGTGGTCTAAAACGAAGACCCTGTAGTCTAAAACGAAGACCCTGTGGTCTAAAACGAAGACCCTGTGGTCTAAAACGAAGACCCTGTGGTCTAAAACGAAGACCC